GAATAATGTGGGAAGCTGAGCATAGCATTAAAACGTCTCAGACTATAATCTATTTGCATCTCTTAGGAATTCTTCAGCAAGACTGTAGGTGTCTGTGACTGATTTCCTCAATCTATAAAATGATTAGCAGTAACTACCTCATACACTTGTTAAGTGGATCAAAGGAGATTATATATTTTTAACAGGTGCATCTAAATTGGAATCTAAAGACAGCAAACCACTCAATAATCCTTTAACTTTAGCCACTGTTCGATTTCTGCAACATTCGGTGTTGCACTGGTAACCTCATCTTTTCCTAGTGTTCTTTCTTCATTTGTACAATTTTGACTGAAACTCAGAAACGTACATTTCTCCCTATTGTCTATTCTTGGTTTATATTGCCTGAATTTGCCCATCTTATTCCTTTTTACCACCTGACAGTACTGCCATTACTCCTCAAAAATTACTGATAGTGACCACAATTTAATCTGATTTTCTCCTAGAATTCAGAGCTATAGGTAAATTCCATTACTATGATAATAACCTTTTTCTTTTTTCTTCTCTCTTACTCTGTTACGAGAAACCTTTTTCATAATACTGTGCTTGCATTCTCACTTGGAAATAATGAGGAAACTATATGGACTGGACATCTCGGGCCAACTTCTGCATCCCAGGGTTCTTCCTTGCCACATCTTCTTTTGAAACATAACTTAAAAATCAAATCATTCACACCAACAAAAACACCCAGCTTCACATTTTAAATTTATGTCTTCCTAATTTTCACAGGCTCTTATTGATCTTTGATGTTGTTCATGGGAATGACTAGGGGCCCAAATATCAAACCTCCAGCACTTTCCCTTGTCAATGCTTCTCTTTAGACTGGACTCCCTTAATGCAGCTTAGCTACCCAGTGGGTTATTTAGAAGATTGTCTTTTCTGTCTTCTTACAACTACTCTGTATCATCTGTATTATTGCTTAAGTGTTCCCATCTTTCTGAAGCTGGATGTCATTTTAGAGTCTCTGAGAAGCCTATTTCTATTTTTAAAACATTTATTTCTAAAGCATATATAACTAGGTCCTGTCTTTCCTTCCTCCACTTCTACTAGTAATATAAATGAGTACTTTCCTCTAACATTTCACATTATTTCTCCATCCTGAAATGGCTCTTCTTTCATTATTTAAGATATGCTGTCCAGTGATGGAGTCTCTAGCAGTGCTTCATGCTTTCTCAGAGAAGCCATATAGCCAATAGAGCAAGTCAGGAATTTTAGGTGCCCAGTTTTTAGACAAATGACATGGGAAACATCCAGCCGATAATCTCCTAAATCTCCCCTAACTGTGATAGTGTTTTATGCTAGGAAGACAGGCCCTCCAAATATAGCAACGAAGCGATCCATGGTGTCTACCTCACATATGGCCACCCAAGCTCCCTTGCATCCTTACCTGCGTGTCCTCTGTACTTCAGACTGTCCACGCCCTTGGAGAGAATGGACATGATTAAAGGTGGTAGCTATGGATCTTAAAGTCAAAAGACCTGATGTTAAGCCTGACTTTCGTCCCCACAATCTAATGGTATGATTATGGGACTTTTTTTATGTTTGTCTAAAATGAAGATAATAATATCTATAATAAGAGGTAGTCATGAATATCAAAGAAAAAGATGAGCTATCCAATACATTGTAATTTGTTTTACCACAGAATAAGGATATTTGTAAAATGAATACAACAAACTATAAACTATATTCTTCTCTAGAATAATCAGGTTGGGGTGGTAAAGAAAGGAAAGGAAGGGAGATTTAAAATCTACTGATTTCAGTGGTGCCTACTTTTTACATCATCTTTTCTCTTATAACCTGAGGAAACTCATTTTTTTTAATGCTTGCTTAAAAAAAAAAGTTTTAGGCCCCCCCGGTGGCGCAGGGGGTTAAAGCACAGCACTAAGAAACTTAAGCCACTTCTGCATGAGTTCAATCCCTGCCTGCCCCTGAGGTAACCACAAGGCGTGGCAGACCTCTCCTGACCTGCCCGCTGCTCCCCTCAGCAGTGTACTTCGTCAATCTGCCTGTTCTGC